AATCAGGACGCAGATTTTGTGCTCTGTCGCTTTCTACGTGTCGAATTGTAGTGTCGATTTTAATCGTGTAGAAAGAAAACGGTACCTATGCGGAATACAAGGGGCAAACCACGTAGGAATTCTTTACCAAAAATGTGGGGAAGTTAGAGGAATTTGTGGGGAATTTGAAGGATCTCATCGGAATTTATGAGAATTTAGGGAGTTTATAGTGAATTTGGAAGAATTTTTATGTGGAATGAAACTTTGGGAAAATGAGCTTCTCAATGTGCGAGACTGTATTTTCAAGTAATTCAGTTTTTGTAGGTTGATTCCCAAGATTTTTCATGCTGCTGTTTTTCACTGGAAAAATTTGAAATTTTGGGAAAATGAGCTTCTCACTTTCCTCTTTACATGCCAAAAGTTTCAAAATTTCTCTTCACTAGTATTATAGGCAAACTTTGGAATGTGTGAGTCTGTATTTTCAATTAACTCAGTTATCGTAGGTTGATTTCCAAGATGAAGATCATGTAATTTTCTACTGGAAAAATTTGAAATTGTAGGAAAATGAGCTTCTCACCTTCCTCTTTACATGTAAAAAGTTTCAAAATTTTCCCTTCACTAGTTTTCTAGGAAAACTTTGAAATGTGTAAGACTGTATTTTCAACTAATTCAGTTTTTGTAGGTTGATTCCCAAGATTTTTCATGTTGCTGTTTTCCGCTGGAAAAATTTGAAATTTTGGGAAAATGAGCTTCTCACTTTCCTCTTTACATGCAAAAAGTTTTAAAATATTCCCTTCACTAGTTTTCCAGGGAAACTTTGAAATGTGTGAGACTGTATTTTCAATTAATTCAGTTATTGTAGGTTGATTTCCAAGATGAAGATCATGTTGTAATTTTCTACTGGAAAAATTTGAAATTTTGGGAAAATGAGCTTCTCACTTTCCTCTTTACATGCAAAAAGTTTCAAAATGTTCCCTTCACTATTTTTCCAGGGAAACTTTGAAATGTGTGAGACTGTATTTTCAATTAATTCAGTTTTTGTAGGTTGATTTCCAAGATTTTTCATGTTGCTGTTTTCCACTGGAAAAATTTGAAATTTTTAGAAAATGATCTTCTCACCTTCCTCTTTACATGCACAAAGTTTCAAAATATTCCCTTCACTAGTTTTCCAGGGAAACTTTGAAATGTGTGAGACTGTATTTTCAACTAATTCAGTTTTTGTAGGTTGATTTCCAAGATTTTTCATGTTGCTGTTTCTCCCTGGAGAAATTTGAATTTTTGGGAAAATGAGCTTCTCACTTTCCTTTTTACATGCAAAAAATTTGAAAATGTTCCCTTCGAAACCCCAGGGAAACTTTGAAATGTGTGAGACTGTATTTTCAACTAACTCAGTTTTTGTAGGTTGATTTCCAAGATTTTTCATGTTGCTGTTTTCCATTTGTAAGACACATTTGTAGGAAATTTGAGACGAGTTTGGAGGAATTTTTGAGAATTTGAAGGAATTCGCAGGGAATTTAGAGGAATTTGTGGGGTATTTGGAGAAATTCGTGGTGGGGTATTTGGAGGAATTTGTGATCTGGTATCTGGAGGAATTTGCAGGAATTATATGTAAAAAATTCCCCTTTTATTGAATATTGAAAGAATCATAAGTTTCATTTTTAAAGTCTACGACAATAGGCAATTTTTCGCGAGGATAATCAAGCATATTCGAATATGCTGGATTATGTGATGTGGCAATTGTGTCATACTCCCGTAACTCCCTCTAAATCCAATTCTGGGCCTACGAGCGACGTCACTAGCAGCAGTTTATATTAGTGTTGACGTCATCTGCAGACCTTGATGGAATGTTTGCGATTCAAGATGTGCTAGTAAGTTAATTTTTTTCGTCGATTTTGAATGTAGAAAAGGTGATTTTTGGTCTATTCTTACAGAAGAAATTAAGTGTTTTTGATTCTCGAGTATCCTAGAATTTGATGGTGAGGGAGTTAGGAGAGAATGACACGACACATCACATAATTTAGCATAATCGATTATGCTTGTTTATCCTCGCGAAAAATTGCCTAATTATTCTGAACTAGTTTCAATTTTTTTTTTAAATGTGATCCGTGAGAAAAACTTCGTTGGCTATATCGATTCAGAACTGATTCGGAACAGTTCGGATCCACAATTTGGAATATCTTTCGAGGATTATTGAATTCTGAATTTTCTGTTCCAGTTCTAGAATTGGTTCCCGAATCAGATCTGAACAAGTTCTACGTATATTGAAACAATCATGTTTCATTTTTGAAGTCTACGACAATTATTCTGAACTTGTTCTAAAGTTGTTCTAAATGTGATCCGTGAATAAAACTTCGTTGATTATTCGATTCGCAACTCATTTTATGTGATTCGAGGATCATTGAATTCTGTGTTTTCTGTTCCAGTTCTAGAATCGGTTCTCGGATCAGATTTGAACAAGTTCTACGAATATTGAAAGAATCATAAGTTTCATTTTTAAAATCTACGATATTAGGCATTTTTCACGAGGATAAGCGATGACGTCACTTGCAGACCTTGATGGAATGTTTGTGATTCAGGCTGTGCTAGTGAGTTAATTTTTTCATAGATTTTAAATGTAGAAAAAGTTATATTCGGATTGCTCTCACGGAAGAAATTAAGTGTTTTTGATCCTCGAGTATCCTAGTATTTGATGGTGGGGGAGTTAGGAATGAATATCGATTCAGAATTGATCCGGAGCAGTTTGGATTGAAAATTTTCTTTTGAGAATTATTGAATTCTGAGTTCCAGAATCGGTTTCCGGATCTGATTTTATAAGTTAAAAAGAATTATGTTTCATCTTTGAAGTCTACGACAATTATTCTGAACTAGTTTCAAAATAGTTCTAAATTTGACCCATGAAAACAAATTCGTTTGTTGTTCGATTCAGAACTGATTCGGAACAGTTTGGATCCAAAATTTCAATGAAATCTTTCGAGGATTATTGACTGAGCATCATAGGTTTCATTTTCAAAATCTACCACAATTATTCTGAAATAGTTTCAAATTTGTTCTAAATTTGACTCATGAATACAACTTCGTTTGCTGTTTGATTCAGAACTGATTCGGAACAGTTTGGATCCAAAATTTGAATTACTTATATCTTTCGAGGATTATTGAATTATTAGCTCTAGAATCGGTTCTCGGATCAGATCTGAACAAGTTCTAGGATATTGGGAGCATCATAACTTTCATTTTCAAAATCTACCACAATTATTATTCTGAAATAGTTTCAAATTTGTTCTAAATTTGACCCATGAATACAACTTCGTTTGCTGTTTGATTCAGAACTGATTCGGAATAGTTTGGATCCAAAATATGAATTATATCTTTTAAAGATTATCGAATTTTTAGCTCTAGAATCGGTTCTCGGATCAGATCTGGACAAGTTCTAGGATATTGAGAGCATCATAAGTTTCACTTTTAAAATCTAATTATTCTGAACTAGTTGCAAATTTGCTCAAAATTTAACCCATGAATACAACTTCGTTTGCTGTTCGATTCAGCACTGATTCGGAACAGTTTGGATCCAAAATTTGAATTATATCTTTCGAGGATTATTGAATTTTTAGCTGTAGAATCGGTTCTCGGATCAGATCTGAACAAGTTCTAGGATATTGAGAGCATCATAAGTTTCATTTTCAAAAATCTACCATAATTATTCTAAAATAGTTTCAAATTTGTTCTAAATTTGACCCATGAATACAACTTTGTTTGCTGTTTGATTCAGAACTGATTCGGAACAGTTTGGATCCAAAATTTGAATTATATCTTTCGAGGATTATTGAATTTTTAGCTTTAGAATCGGTTCTCGGATCATATCTGAACAAGTTCTAGGATATTGAGAGCATCATAAGTTTCATATTTAAAGTCTATCACAATTATTCTAAACTAGTTTCAAATTTGCTCTAAATTTGACCCATGAATACAACTTTGTTTGTTGTTTGATTCAGAACTGATTCGGAACAGTTGGAATCCGAAATTTGAATTACTTAGATATATCTTTCGAGGATTATTGAATTTTAAGCTCTAGAATCGGTTCTCGGATCAGATCTGGACAAGTTCTAGGATATTGAGAGCATCATAAGTTTCATTTTCAAAGTCTAATTATTCTGAACTAGTTTCAAATTTGCTCTAAATTTAACCCATGAATACAACTTCGTTTGCTGTTTGATTCAGAACTGATTCCAAACAGTTCGGATCCACAATTTGAATTATATGTTTCATTCTTTCGACGATTATTGAATTGTAAGTTTTCTGTTCCAGTTTTAGAATTGGTTCCCAGATCAGATCTGAACAAGTTCTATATTGAAAGAATCATAAGTTTCAATCCTTTGCAGAGGAAATCAAGAGCCGGGAATCATTCAAATTTTGATCATTATTGGCTCTTAACTGATTAGAAAACATCTCTAAATATTTAAAAGAAATCAAGATCCAAAAAGGGTGCAAATTTTGATTATTACCGGCGTATGAATTATTAGAAAACTTGAATCTATGGGAGATATTGAATCAAAATTTCTAGGAATTGTATCTAGCTCCTGTTAGGCTTCAAAAAACGTGTATTAGAAAATATTCTTACGTTAATAGCTTTTGAGAATATTGAGTTTATGAAGATTTTGATAGAATTTTGACTAAAGTTAAGTTCAACTTTGAGCAAAGAATCTTTGAGGTTCAATTATTATGATTGATGAAACTGTTTTACCTTGGCATGCGATAACAAAATGAAGTTTCGAGCTAGAAACAATGATAGTTGTAGGTACTTAAATATTCCAAAATTCACATAAAACAAGGAAGACAACAAAAAGCTACTAACCTTTATAGGTACCCAGAGATATTGTGAACTAGAACCAAACCAAAATGAGCATCATCATCATCATCAAATTCATTATTCTACAATCAAAACGTCTTTTAGGAACCAAAACGCTCTACAAATACGAAGCACAACTATTTTCTGGAAATGTCTTCATCATCATCTTCACTCACAGCTATAATTGGGACACTCTGAACAACTCCTCATTGCTCCCAAGCCCGTAATCGAACCCGTGCGACGGCCCGTTTTGCATTAGCATCGGTCCAGCATATGCACTCAAATCGTAGCACGAAGTCAGCATCCAAGGGTGCACATGCGGTATTAAATGGTGAGCTACTGGTGCTATCGTTGGTACTGATGGTTTATCTGGAGATATTAATGATTCTATTGTAAAAGATCGTTTAGGTCGGATCAAAGTTGTTTGTTCTTGAGGCGATTTTGTTGTTGGTGGTTCTATTACTGGTGTTTGGGTTGAGGATGTTGGTGGTACTAAAGATGCTGCTGGATTGATTACGTCATTAGGGTTTGCAGGAGGTGTAAAGAAGATTCTGTTGATGTTTGTTAAAGCTGCTAGTTCATTTTCGAGTATTTCTTTGTCGCTTTTTAGTAGTTTGAAGCGCTTTCTTCTGCGTAGAAGGCTTCCGTTGACAAACATGTCGAATGCTGCTGGATGTAAGGCCCAATATGCACCTTTTCCAGGCCTATCAGGCTGACGAGGGATTTTTATGAAACAATCATTAAAGGATAAGTTGTGTCGCAAAGAGTTTTGCCATCTTTGAGTGTTTTTTCTATAATAAGGAAACCTATCAGTAATAAATTTGTAGATTTCCGACAAAGGCAGCATTTTTTCTGGACTATTCCATATAGCCATCGCAGTCAATGAAATATACGAATAAGGAGGTTTTTGATCACCATAACTGTCTCTGCTTGGTCGCGGCATTGTCACTCAACACATCACTTATATACACAAAAAGCCAAAACAACTACGATGTGGATTTAGGATCGACACTATTTGAACTGATCCTCGAGGCTTGTGAAAACATTTACACTGTGAGGGGCTTCGCCCCCTTATAGTTCCATTGGCGAGTGTTCAACAATGGCCCAAAGTGGCCCGCCTTCGGTGGAGGGCCAATGAGTGGCGGTCGGGCTTGCACCAATCGAAAGGCTCCGGTTCGTTGTGTAATGAATCGCTTATTTAAGCAAAGATTCGGTTTGTTATGGCTGGTACTTAGCGAGCCGGATTTATGTACGAGGATGTGTCGAATGGGCAAATGTGAGCTGTTTTTTTTCGTTTTTTGGTTTCGGTCTTCTTGTTATTTTTAAGTGCTATTAACGAGTTTTATGTAAATTGGGGATTTTGGGTAACGAGGGTTTTTTTAGTTTTGGGGATTTATATTGACAGTGAAGACGTATTGATGATTGGAGAGTATTGTAAATGGATGTGTGGATTTAACTTTAAGGCACAATACCTCAAAAAGTATTTGAGCTATCAGAACTAATTTAGCACAGATTTATAGAGAATTTAATGCTCTTTCTAATGGTATATAAATTATTTAGGTTTATATAAAAATATCAACAGTGACCGGGGTGTCTGGCCAAGGCGGTCACGGAACTCAGAATTTGATTGTAAAAGACTAAGATCGGCTATAAAACTATTTTGATAATTAACTAAAAGTTAACTCCTGGAATGACGTCGCATGTCATACTTAACTTCAAAATTTCGAAGTTAACTTTCCGTGCATTCGGTATTTTGATCCGAGTTCTCCGAGCTTGAATTTACCGTTCGTTTTTTATTTCGTATTTAAAAAGTGTACTCGGTGCAAGCTCATTTGCGTTCATTTATTAAAATTTCGGACACTCGGATACAGCGCTCAACTACTCTGTTCGCTCGCTGGTCACGTGATTACGGCTCCGCTCAGCACGCTCTACTCTTTGAGCAAAATACCGAACGCAAGGTTTATCGGGCGGATGGGGTATCGGTTAAAGTTAACTTTGTGGTTTTCGACAGTTCTTCATCTTTCAATAATTTAGTATTCAGCAAAGAAACTACACTTTCTGAGTGCCTTTTTTCATAGATTTCGGCCTCAAATCTGAAAATAATTTAGTGTATGGAGTTTGGGGGATGTTGATTGACCATAAGGATACAAAATCTCGACAAAAAAAAAAATTGAAATTTCATCGGGGGGTTCATAATTTTTCTATTAAAGATAGACAGCTGAAATTTTCAGCGATTCTTATTCCAGTAGAGGACTACAAACCCTGAAAATTTCAACTCATTTGGACTTATAGTTCCTGAGATAAAATCGTGTTAAGCATTTTGGGGTGATTTATTAATTTTTCAATTATTCTTAGTGCCTTTTTTCATAGATTTCGGCTTCAAATCTGAGAATAATTTAGTGTATGGAGTTTAGAGGATCCCAAATGACCATTAGGACATAAAATCTGAACAACAAAAAAATTTGAAATTTCATCGTTTTAGTAAGAAGGTACCTACCTTATGATTTAGATTTTGGAAAACTTTGAAAGGTCATAACTTTTTTTCTATTAAAGATAGAAAGCTGAAATTTTCAGCGATTCTTATTCCAGTAGAGGACTACAATCGCTGGAAATTTCAACTCATTTGGAGTTATAGTTCCTGAGATAAAATCGTGTTAAGCAATTTGGGGTGATTTATCAATTTTTCTGAGTGCCTTTTTTCATAGATTTCGGCTTTAAATCTGAGAATAATTTAGTTTATGGAGTTTGGGGGATCCCAAATGACCAATAGGACACAAAATCTCAACAAAAGAAATTTGAAATTTCATCGTTTTAGTAAGAAGGTACCTACCTTATGATTTAGATTTTGGAAAACTTTGAAAGGTCATAACTTTTTTTCTGTTAAAGATAGAAAGTTGAAATTTTCAGCGATTCTTATTCCAGTAGAGGACTACAATCGCTGGAAATTTCAACTCATTTGGAGTTATAGTTCCTGAGATAAAATCGTGTTAAGCAATTTGGGGTGATTTATCAACTTTTCAATTTTTCTGAGTGCTTTTTTTCATAGATTTCGACTTTAAATCTGAGAATAATTTAGTGTATGGAGTTTGGGGGATCCCAAATGACCAATAGGACACAAAATCTCAACAAAAAAAAATTTGAAATTTCATCGTTTTAGTAAGAAGGTACCTACCTTATGATTTAGATTTTGGAAAACTTTGAAAGGTCATAACTTTTTTTCTATTAAAGATAGAAAGCTGAAATTTTCAGCGATTCTTATTCCAGTAGAGGACTACAATCCCTTAAAATTTCAACTCATTTGGACTTATAGTTCCTGAGATAAAATCGTGTTAAGCAATTTGGGGTGATTGATCAACTTTTCAATTTTTCTGAGTGCCTTTTTTCATAGATTTCGGCTTTAAATCTGAGAATAATTTAGTGTATGGAGTTTGGAGGATCCCAAATGACCAATAGGACACAAAATCTCAACAACAAAAAATTTGAAATTTCATCGTTTTAGTAAGAAGGTACCTACCTTATGATTTAGATTTTGGAAAACTTTGAAAGGTCGTAACTTTTTTTCTATTAAAGATAGAAAGTTGAAATTTTCAGCGATTCTTATTCCAGTAGAGTACTACAATCCCTTAAAATTTCAACTCATTTGGACTTATAGTTCCTGAGATAAAATCGTGTTAAGCAATTTGGGGTGATTTATCAATTTTTCAATTTTTCTGAGTGCTTTTTTTCATAGATTTCGACTTTAAATCTGAGAATAATTTAGTGTATGGAGTTTGGGGGATCCCAAATGACCAATAGGACACAAAATCTCAACAAAAAAAAATTTGAAATTTCATCGTTTTAGTAAGAAGGTACCTACCTTATGATTTAGATTTTGGAAAATTTTGAAAGGTCGTAACTTTTTTTCTATTAAAGATAGAAAGTTGAAATTTTCAGCGATTCTTATTCCAGTAGAGTACTACAACCCCTTAAAATTTCAACTCATTTGGACTTATAGTTCCTGAGATAAAATCGTGTTAAGCAATTTGGGGTGATTTATCAATTTTTCAATTTTTCTGAGTGCTTTTTTTCATAGATTTCGGCTTTAAATCTGAGAATAATTTAGTGTATGGAGTTTGGGGGATCCCAAATGACCATTAGGACATAAAATCTGAACAACAAAAAAAAATTTGAAATTTCATCGTTTTAGTAAGAAGGTACCTTATGATTTAGATTTTGGAAAACTTTGAAAGGTCATAACTTTTTTTCTATTAAAGATAGAAAGCTGAAATTTTCAGCGATTCTTATTCCAGTAGAGGACTACAATCCCTGAAAATTTCAACTCATTTGGACTTATAGTTCCTGAGATAAAATCTTGTTAAGCAATTTGGGGTGATTTATCAATTTTTCAATTTTTCTGAGTGCCTTTTTTCATAGATTTCGGCTTTAAATCTGAGAATAATTTAGTGTATGGAGTTTGGGGGATCCCAAAAGACCAATAGGACACAAAATCTCAACAAAAAAAAATTTGAAATTTCATCGTTTTAGTAAGAAGGTACCTACCTTATGATTTAGATTTTGGAAAACTTTGAAAGGTCATAACTTTTTTTCTATTAAAGATAGAAAGCTGAAATTTTCAGCGATTCTTATTTCAGTAGAGGACTACAATCCCTGAAAATTTCAACTCATTTGGACTTATAGTTCCTGAGATAAAATCGTGTTAAGCAATTTGGGGTGATTTATCAATTTTTCAATTTTTCTGAGTGCTTTTTTTCATAGATTTCGGCTTTAAATCTGAGAATAATTTAGTGTATGGAGTTTGGGGGATCCCAAAAGACCAATAGGACACAAAATCTCAACAAAAAAAAATTTGAAATTTCATCGTTTTAGTAAGAAGGTACCTTATGATTTAGATTTTGGAAAACTTTGAAAGGTCATAACTTTTTTTCTGTTAAAGATAAATGCGCTGAAATTTTCAGCGATTCTTATTCCAGTAGAGGACTACAATCCCTGAAAATTTCAACTCATTTGGACTTATAGTTCCTGAGATAAAATCGTGTTAAGCAATTTGGGGTGATTTATCAATTTTTCAATTTTTCTGAGTGCCTTTTTTCATAGATTTCGGCTTTAAATCTGAGAATAATTTACTGTATGGAGTTTGGGGGATCCCAAAAGACCAATAGGACACAAAATCTCAACAAAAAAAAATTTGAAATTTCATCGTTTTAGTAAGAAGGTACCTACCTTATGATTTAGATTTTGGAAAACTTTGAAAGGTCATAACTTTTTTTCTGTTGAAGATAGAAAGCTGAAATTTTCAGCGATTCTTATTTCAGTAGAGGACTACAATCCCTGAAAATTTCAACTCATTTGGATTTATAGTTCCTGAGATAAAATCGTGTTAAGCAATTTGGGGTGATTTATCATTTTTTCAATTTTTCTGAGTGCTTTTTTTCATAGATTTCGGCTTTAAATCTGAGAATAATTTAGTGTATGGAGTTTGGGGGATCCCAAATGACCAATAGGACACAAAATCTCAACAAAAAAAAATTTGAAATTTCATCGTTTTAGTAAGAAGGTACCTACCTTATGATTTAGATTTTGGAAAACTTTGAAAGGTCATAACTTTTTTTCTATTAAAGATAGAAAGCTGAAATTTTCAGCGATTCTTATTTCAGTAGAGGACTACAATCTCTGAAAATTTCAACTCATTTGGATTTATAGTTCCTGAGATAAAATCGTGTTAAGCAATTTGGGGTGATTTATCATTTTTTCAATTTTTCTGAGTGCTTTTTTTCATAGATTTCGGCTTTAAATCTGAGAATAATTTAGTGTATGGAGTTTGGGGGATCCCAAAAGACCAATAGGACACAAAATCTCAACAAAAAAAAATTTGAAATTTCATCGTTTTAGTAAGAAGGTACCTACCTTATGATTTAGATTTTGGAAAACTTTGAAAGGTCATAA